CTCAGAAACACCATCCTTTGAACCTCAAGGTCATCCTCAACCTCTGTTACAGCCCAGGATATTTTATGGTGGAGAAGTTGAAATCAGAATTCCCAATCTGCTTTGGAATGTCCAGATAGACCAGGGTGGTGCTGCTCAGGAGTGAGGTTATCTGATTTTTTTCCTACTTTTTTTCTTCATTCTTTTTTAGTAGCCGGTGTCTGGAATTTTTTCCTATTCTTAAGAATGAAATATTGCCGTGGTGGTGGTGGCAGCAGTTGAAAATGCCTTTCGTCCCAGCACTTGGGAGGCGAGACAGGCTAATCTCTATGAGGCCAGCCTGGTCTACAGAGGGAGTTTCAGGAGAGCCAAGACTACATAAAGAAACCCTGTCTCAAAAAAACAAAACAGGAAAAAAAAAGAAAAGAAAAAGGAAAGAAGTATTGTGGCTGGGAATGGTGATACACAACTTTAATCCCAGCACTCAGGAGGAAAAGGCAGGTGGATCTCTGAGTTTGAAGACAGCCTGCCTGGTCTACGTGACAGGCTCTAGGTCAGTCAGGGCTAAATAAGTAAATAAATAACAAGAAATATATGTACAGAAAACCGAGAAAGGGGCTTAGGCACCAGACAAGCCTGAAGCATCCTCCAGAAGCCGCCCTAGTATTATTCATAGGTTTGTTGGAGATCTACTAATAGAAAAGCACTGGTCAAGCTCTTTAGGGAGGATACTCCTCCAGCAGATACTCCCGAGAACTAGGAAGCAGGCAGGATTCCCAAACAAGGTATTCCCGGGTCAAAAGACAGAGGGAAGGCACTGAGCATGTGGAAAGGAGGGTGGGAACTGAAGAAGGGCAAGCTGGAGTGGGGGAGATTGCAGGGAACAGAAATGTGAGCAGCTCAGAGGCTGAGCTACTGAAGTCACAGCTGGAGGACAGAGGGGAAAGTTCCCATCCTCCAGGCAGGAAGGCAGACTTGTCCTCCCACAACTGCCTTTTCCGTCCAGATGAGGACTGAACCTGTAGGCAGTATGAAAATCCTAAGGACACACAGGGAATAGCGCCCGAGCTGAGCCTTCTGATCTCCCTCATCTCCAAGTCTCTTTGCAGTTAGAGATACATTTCCAGGGGTTGTGAGGCCCAGAAAAGACAGATGCCTCCAAAGTGCTTAAGAGGTGCCACACATACAGGAAGCTTTTCTGACATGTTGAGAATCTTTATGTTCTGGAGATATGGCTCAGTGGGTAAGAGCCTTGCTCTGCAAGCTGAAGTTCAAATCCTCACCATAGATGTAAAACACCAGACATGGCTATATATTTATAGCCCCAGCTTTGGGGAACAGAGACAGGTAGATTCTGAGAGCTCCTTAGCATAGTGGAATTGGCAAAGCTTCCCTCTCAGCGAGACCCAGCAAGAGAGACCGAGTGAGAAAGACTCTTGACGTCTTGCTCTGGCCTCCAGATGCACACAGGCATGTCAGCTACACACTCCCTCCACATACACATGACTCCTCATAAAGTGTTGCTTATTTATGGGACTAGAGAGGTGGTTCAGCATTTCAGAGCAGCTGCTGTTCTTCTAGAAGATCCAAAGTTCCAGGGGACTCTTGACACTGTCTTCCCACCTCTGTGACCACATGCATGCACATGGTGCACTACATATACTCAGGCACGTACACTTACATAAAAGGAGATTTTTTTTGTTTGTCCCCCCGCCCCCCAGGGTTTGGTTTCTCTGTGTAATCCAGGCTGTCCTGAAACTCACTCTGTAGACCAGGCTAGTCTCAAATTCAGAGAACTACCTGCCTCTGCCTCCCCAGTGCTGGGACTAAAGTCAAGCATCACTATACCCAGCAAAGAATATTCTTTTTTTTTTAAGTGTTGCTTATGAAAGCAAGTAAAAAAGAAAATGAAAATAATATTTAACAGGAGATAGTAATGTTAAACAAAAGATAAGATAAAGCCAGGCGGTGGCGGCACTCAGAGGCAGAGGCAGGCGGATTTCTGAGATCAGGGACAGACTGGTCTACAGAGTGAGTTCCAGGACAGCCAGGACTGTTACATAGGGAAACCCTGTCTTGAAAAACAAACAAACAAACAAACAAACAATAACATATAATGGGAATTAAGCAATTACTCTTTTCCCCCAGTACTAGAGATTGTATACAGAGCTTTATGCATGCCAAGCTGGTCCTACACCCCAGCTCTGTTCTGTAAACATGGAGGGACAAGGCACCAGTCAGTCAGTTCAGCAGGGAAAAGTGCTTGCCACCAAGGCTAAACACTGAAGTTGGATTCCTGGGACTCACCTGGAGAAGGAGAAAACCAACATCTTCAAATTGTCTTCTAACCTCCACACAAGTATCATGACATACATTACCCAACTCCACAAATAATTTCAAGGGAAGTGCTAGATTCGTGTAATCCTATTTCTTGAGGGTCAGAGGCAGGGGGATTAAGAGTTCAACCTACTCAACAAAACAGGCCCTGTCTCAATAAAATGGGGAGGTGGACACCAAAAATTGAGTGAAGAATCTGTTACAAGAAAAGTGTAAAGTGTGTGTTCTGAATAGGGTGAATTTTGGTTTTTAAAGTATTCAGAGAGAAAGGACTAGAGGATATAATAACCTTGAGCATCAGATGGCAGGACTGGGCTTCATTTTCAGAGTTTTCAGTATTTACAAAGTGTGTATTAGCATTAGAAAAGAAGTATTACTTTTAAAAACATTACCAATTTCCTAACATGAAAAATGCACTGATGGGGGCCCATAACTCATCTGTCACTTATTTGGGGTCTCAGCTTCCCCATCTATAAAATGGAGCCCTTAACCACAAGATGCCTATTAGAAAAACAAAAAACAAAAAACACCTCCCCTCCCCAAAAAAAGGAAAAAGAAAAATTCAAATCAATCCTATAGGGGATACCTAAGTTTAGAAAACTGTGTTTCTCTTCTGGAAAAAACCCGAGCTACAGAAGATTTTTCTACAGAAGGATCCTAAGGGGAGTGAGGAAGGGGAATTCCTCTTTGGCAAAGGAAGACTTCAAGGGCCTTATGGGAACATCTGCAGGAGGGGAAAATGTGGTAGAGGTATCTGCGGACTCACAAGATTGGTACCACCTGGAGATGCCGGAAGCGGGAAAGACGAAAACTGGGAAGAATGGAGTACCCCTCCCCCAGGCCACAGTAGGGGCTCAACAGTATTTCCCAAATGGGTGAATATATCACCAGCAAAAACCTCAATTTACTTACCTGTGAGATGATATATTAGGATGACAAGCTATCAGGGAGGTCGGCCACAGCTCAGCTCTCACGCGTGATGGAGCTAACTGTATTTGGCAGGTCGGCGCAGGGAAATTCTCAGGGTCTAAGCCACTGCCCAAGGTCAAGGTTCCTAACTGGTACAGGGGTGCAAACCAAGGCTTTTCATGTCCACCGCCTCTGAGCGCGGGCTCCCGCCCCAAATCCCGATACTAAGACCTCAGTTCCATACGTTAAGTCGGGGCAGCAGATCGCACCCGGGGACGCCTGACCCGGGCCAGCTCCCTTCCCCTCTCAGCTCTGGCTGCTGAAGCATGATCGGGGGAGGGAGGGACACAGGAAAGGACCCCAGGGCTCCCGCGGCTCCGCAGGGCTGTCAGGGCCACTGCTGTTCCAGTGCGACTTCAGGTTGGGGCGGGTTTTTACTAGCTGCAGAATAGCAGACGGTCCTGGTCTGCATTTACACGGCGGGGGGAAAATCCGACCCTAAGGCCGCGCCCCGGCCCCCGCTGGGTGGGAGTCTAGGTGACCCCGCCCTAGGCGTCAGCCCGCTCTTCCCTCCCCCACCCTGGGGTTCGGAATTGGAGCGGAAAAAGAGCCAGACGTGAGGAGTCTTAAAAGTGGGGTGGAGGTAACGATCGGAACCTTCTAGGTCATTGGAGGTACCTCTTCCTGTAGGTGAAAACGAGCAGGCTCCCTAACCCTCCTCTTAGAGTTGATAAGGGGGTGGTGGGGGGTGAGAATTGGTATTCTAATTCCCAACCCTCGGGGCTGGAAGCCTCGGGCCAGAGAGGGGAAGTGATTTCCTCAAGGTCACTCAGCAGACCCACCCCGCGCCTCGCTCAAGATCAGGTGTTTGCCGCCCTCCCCCTTCCCCGCCTTCCCCCCTAGAACCCGGCCCTCCGCCGCCGCCGCCGCCGCCGCGCGCGAGGGGAACGCGCCGGGCCGGACCCCCACCGGAATTTGGGGGCGTGTGTGTGTGTGTGTGCCCATGACAGCCTCCAACCCCACGTCAGGGTCTGAAACCCGGGAGCACCGCCGCCTTGGCTGGGGATGCAGCGTGCCGGGCACCTCCAGCTCCACCCAAGCCCGCGCGGCTCCTTTAAGAAAAGTTCTCTGGAAGAGTTCATCAAAGTTTAAAAACTCGCCTTGGAGAAGGGAGTGGCGGGGTGGTGGGGGCGGCGGCGGCGGCGAGAGCCGGGTGCGGGAGAGAGGAAGGGAGAGGGGGGTCGGCCGGCCGAGGGAGCGGCGAGGGGAAACGGCCCGCCCGCCGGGGAGCTCCGAGAGGCAGGGAGGCCGGAGCGCGGCGGCCGGGGCCGGGGCGAGCCCGCAGTGGGCTGCGGGGATTGGCTGCGCGTTCCCCCGGAGACCGCGGGGCGGGGGCGGGGCGGGGCGGGCCCCAGCTGAGGCCGGTTCCGGCGCCCGCCCCCTCCCCCGGCGCCCGCCCCCCGCCGCCGCCGCCGCCGCCGCCGCCGCGGGCGCACTCGCCGGCCGCAGTGAAAAGCCGGAGGCGGCGGCCGCTCGGGCTGCGCGCGGGTTCCCGGTGCCTTCCCCCGCCCCGCCTCGGCCGCCTCCCGCACCCTCCAAACTTCATGTGACCCCCCCCTTCTCCTTTCTCCTTAGCTGGACGCGGCAGCCGTCCGTCTCCGCACGCGCCGTGCCGCACGCTCCTCGGGGGGCGCACCGCTCGCCGCGCCCCTGCCCACCTCGGGACCCGGGCGTCCCGCTCCCCTCTCCGCGGCCCTCTCCCCCCCCCTCCCCGTCCCCCCCCCCCCCGCTCCCCTCACCATGAGCAGCGTGAAGCCGGACGTCGAGCACTGCACCGGCACGGGCCCCGGCGGCCCGCTGGAGGAGGAGGTGGGTGTGCGGCGGCGGGCGGGACTGGGCGCGCGTGAGGTGCGCGCCGAGGAGGTGGGCGCGGGAGCAGGGCACGCGGGGCCCGGGGGCGGCGCGAGGCCGTGCGGGCCACCGCTCCCGGCGCCTTCCCGCCGCTGCCCTTCGCCCCCGGGGACGAGCGGCTCCTGCCCCGCTGGCGGGGGCGTGCGGCCTGGACTGGCCCGGCGGGGCCGGCATTGTCTTCCCCGCCCTCCCGGGCTCGAGGAAGGGCGCGCGTCGGCCGCCATCCGGGTGGCCCCGAGGTGGGCTTGCGGGGGGGCCTCACGGGTCCCCGGCCCGCTGCCCTCGTTCCCCACGCCGGGTCCCGCGTGCGGCTTGCGCGCGCGCTTCGGCTGGGGAGCGCCTCATGGGTGGCCTGGACCCCCCCCCCCCTCCCCGGCTGGAAGGAGCAGAGAGGGATTATTGAGGTGGGCATGCGGGAGACACGCTCGCCCTTCAGGCTCTCCCACCCTGACCCCTCCCCGTGACCTTGGAGGCCGGGCCAGCTGCCCTGCGCCTAGGTTCTCGAGAGCTGTAGTCTTAGTGGGCAGGCGGGCGGGCAGGCGGGCGGGTTTGCCTCCCAGTCCCAGAACTTGGGTTTCTGCAGAGATGAGCCGGCAATTTAATTAATTACAGTCAGGAAAGAGAGAACTTGGAAACCCTGAGTCTCCCCTGTTCTCGCCCTTTGACCTAGTAGCCAAGCCAGGACCCCAAACTGTCCTGGGTGGGACCCTTCAAAGAGAGGTGACATCATCTTGTCCAGCCGCCCTGTGCTGCTGAAAAGAAGGGCTTAGGAGACCGCGTCGAGGAACCACCAGCGCCTGTCGGTTTCAGGGGCTGGTGAGGGCGACGCACATGTGGGGGATGAAAACTGTAAAGATACCTGCGCATGGAGGCTAGGCAGGCAGGCAAGCAGAATTAGTATGAAAAGGGGGCAGACTTCTGGGCTCCTCAGGAGCTCCTTTGGCCCTGCTGTGTCACTCGGGGCTGAGAGACCCTTCCTGCCCCGCCCTGGCATGCTCTTGCCCAGGAAACCAAGGGTCAGTTATCCAGCCCTAGCGCCCTTCCCTTTGGTCTGGGGTAGAAACCGCAGAGGCCCTAATGTTTCTTGCTGGTTGTGCTATGGTTTGCCACCGAATGGCCTCCTGTTGGGCAGCAGAGGCCTGCATCCAGCCTCAGTGCACCAGGGACCTGACATCTTGATGAGCTAGGTTTGGATCCTGCTTTGGGCACAAGGAGGCAGAGAATTACATGCAACGATTCACTTCACTCAAGCGATGGGAACGGAGGGTCTGGCATCTTTCTGGCTAGAGTAACAAAGAGTGGTGGCTGGTTTTGGTTTCTGTTAGCTTTGTCCTCTTTGGACCTTCTTAATGTCTGCAGGCCCCTTGGGGTCCTTCACCCCATCCTGAACTACCTGAATTTTAGAATCTCCCATGAGAATTGGGGGAGTGATGAGTGCGTGTTGTTTGCTGGTGTGTCTGTGATCTCAGCTTGTTTTCTCACCCCTTGTGCTGAAATTGGGATCGGGGGCAGTGGTTCCTCAAGTTGCGCAATGATCAACCCCAATCTTGCATCTCTTAAAAAACTGGCCTTCAGCAGGGACTTCATACTGAATGTCTGACCAGATCCTCAGACCCACGGTTCTGGGTGGGAATTAAACGTTGGTCACACCGAAGAGCTGGAAAAAGTGTGTGGGCCTTGTCTACTTTTTCGTTTGTTTGTTTTGTTTTCGAGACAGGGTTTCTCTGTGTAGACCCTGATGTCCTGGAACTCAGTCTGTAGACCAGGCTGGCTTCGAACTGACAGAGATCCTCCTGTCTCTGCGTCCTGAGTGCTGGGATTAAAGGCTTGGGCCACTACCACCTTGCGCCTTGGCTACTTTTCAAAATTCCCTTTCTGGGAAAGAGGATATTCAAAAAGTAGAGTCACTGCTCTTCCTATGGACCTTGGGGTATGCTATAGCCTTGATGGTTCAGAGAGTCCTGTAGCGGTACCAGCAGAGGGACACGGGCTTGGATTTAGTGTTTAGCAGAGTTCTGGTGGTCAGCAGGTCCTCATTTGGGTAGCATAGACACTAAAATCAGAATAATAAAGGGCCGATTAGCATGGCTCTGTTAAAGAAGAAATGAAATCTCATGAAGCATTTCATATTTAAAAAAATGGAACTAGTGAAATGGCTCACTGGGTAAAGGTGTTGGCTGCCAAGCCGGATTACCTGGTCCTTGGAATCTACATGGTGGAGAGAGAGAATGGATCCCTGGAAGTTGTCCTCGTGTCTCTGCATATGCATCCTGACAGTCGTTCTCCACCACCACATAACAACCATTAAAATATAATTGAAAAATTTGAAATAAAAGAAAACTGGGGGCTTGGTGATCTCTTGGTGTCCAGTGTCCGTTCCAGTCTCCCTTCCTTCAGCAGCATTCTGGCCAGTAGCCCAGGAACTCTCAGCTCTGTCTCCTTTTGGTTGCTTGGGGGACACTAGTCTGCTTTAGTTTAGATGGTCCCAGGCAGTCAGTTTTACAATCCCTAAGAGCCATCACCCAGATAATGCTGTTAACATTGGTGATTTACTGCTGTGGCTGAAACTGGCTCTTCCTAATCATCTATTGATTAGCTATAACAAGCCTAGAGAAGTAAAAACTACTGTCCTTGTAACGTCTCGTTTCCTAAGGGTACCAGGTTGCAGGAGAATGATGCATTTCCTCAGTGCTAGGAGGAATCCCTTACTTTGAACTGCCTCTTGCAGTCAGTCAGGTTTCCCTGCTTGCTTCCTGCTCTACCCAAGGAGCTTCATCCATATTGTGAGCATCAGGTTCCTTCTCTGGGATACAGATGAAAGGTTGCCGGTGGGGGTGGGGTGTGTGTGTGAGGAGGACTTGCCTGGCAGTGGTGGTGTGTCTAATCCAGTGGCACCATAATGACACCATGAAGTTAGAGGTTAGCTCTCCCTGAGATGAGGATGAGTAGAGTTAGAGGTTGTGTAGTGAGTGGAAAGGGCATTCCAAAAAGTATGGCATAGGTCAAAGGATGATTCCCAAGACAGAGACAGGAGAATCCTAGGTTCAAGGCTAACTTGGCTACATAGTGAGGCCATATTTCAAAAGCAAAGCTGGGGAGCAGGGTCGCATGGATTATGAGACCTCATGGTTTATTTGGGTAACTACCAGTAGTTTGCTACGTGGAGAAATAGCAAACGCCACATCATGAAAAGCCTGAGAGCATGTGAAGGAGGGAGGAAACTGCCATTTTCTTGCACTTGAGCAGATGTGTTAAAAGCTTTGATACCCTTTGGAGGCTAAAGAGGACAGTGGGGAATTAAGGGGAGAAGCTGAAGTTCTTGTTTGGTCTAAGGCTATATCCTCTTCCAGGTGGGCCTTGATGGAGTACCAGGTAATGTCACATAGACCCTGAAAATCCTGCTTAAATTCTAGTGATTCTACTGGATAATCCTAGTGATTGTCCTGGATGGCTAGGTATTAGTGTCTCTGGAGAGCAATGTGTGTGGTGTTTATATATTGAGAGGATCTTGCTACATTGCCCAGGCTGGCTTAGCATGCTAGGCTGACCTGAAACAATGTAGCTCAGTCCTCATGACCTCAAATTCTTGAACCTCCTGCCTCAGCCTTCTAAAAACTGGGATTACAGATACGTGCTGCTACACTCAGTGTTACTGAAAACTACTTTATTGCAGTATGATTGACACTGATAAAGCTACATTTATCCAACATGTAATTTGAGTTTTTTGAGTTTGGAGACTTGGCTATAGTTACTTTTTGTATTTGTTTTGTTTTAAGGATTGATAACAAGGCATCACCTATGCTAAGCAAGGGGTTTGTCACTGAGTTGCATCCCAGTCCCTACAGTAATTTTGTTTTTAATAGCCCTGGCTGGTTTAGAACTTGGCCTGCCTCTGTCTCCCAGGTGCTGGGATTAATCTACAGTACTTTTTAATTAGGAAGCATCCTTAGGTCATTGAAGTATAATATTTGGATTCCTGAGTTGAGGATATGTTTCTAAGACTTTAAAGATGTTTGTTTATAAGACAGGGTCTCATCATCTAACCCTGGATGACCTGAAACTAACAGATCCTCCTCCTCCTCTTCCTCCTTCTCCTTCCCAAATGCTGGGATTAAAGGCATGTGCCACCACTCCCAGCTTGTAAAGAAGTTTTATGTTAACCTAGTTGTAAACTGTAGAATGTCAGGAGTGGCCAAGGTATCTGCAATTGAACCTATGGTTGCTAACCTCCTTTCCCATAGTGGCTGGGGTGTCAGAGGATGTCAGGAAACAGGTCCCTGACACTTCTGAGACGTTAGAGCTTAATCTTCCTCTGAGGTGTGGGTAAGTAGGAGGGTATTAGGCCTGCAGGGATGGACAGGTGAAGGTTAGTCTAAATCAGCAGTTCTCAAATGGTGGGTCATGACCTCTTCGTGGTTGCATGTCAGATATTTACATTGTGATTCATAACAGTAGCAAAATTACAGTTATGAAGTAGCAATAGAAATATTTTATGGTGGGGGGGTCACCACAACATGAGGGACTGAACTGTATTAAAGGGTTGCAGCATCAGGAAGGTTGAGAACCGTTGGTCTAAAGGAATTCTGGGGTTAAGTGTGTGGCTTGGCATCTTCCCCCCCTCCCCAATTTATGTTTTAGTTATGTATATAGTATATGTGTGAGTCATTGTATGTGAGTATAGTGTCCGTGTAGGCCAGGAGGGGGCATCAGATCCTCTGGACTGGAATTACAGGTGGGGGCAGGGAATTGGACTTAGGTATCATGCAGGCTCAGTAAGGGCTTTTAGCAGTTGCCCCCCCATCTCTCCTTTTCTCTGACATCAGAAACATTTGAAAGATATTCATGATGGTTCATGCATGTAACTCCAGCTCTTAAGAAGTAGAGACAGGAAGACTGTCTCAAGTTCAAGGCCAGCTACATAAGGATTTCTAAGCCAGTGAGGGCTACAGAGCAAGAGC